AGGCGGGTGGATCACGAGGTCAAGAGATCGAGACCATCCTGGTCAACAAGGTGAAACCCCGTCTCTACTAAAAATACAAAAATTAGCTGGGCATGATGGTGCATGCCTGTAATCCCAGCTATTCAGGAGGCTGAGGCCGGAGAATTGCTTGAACCCAGGAGGCGGAGGTTGCGGTGAGCCGAGATCGCGCCATTGCACTCCAGCCTGGGCAACAACAGCAAAACTCCGTCTCAAAAAAAAAAAAAAAAAAGAACTTGAATTTACTAATCAATATGCGGAGGGTTTTTTTTCTCACTTCAATATGTTACATGAGTGTGATAAAACAGCATTTGTAAATATATTTCTATCACTCCACAAAGTCTTCATTAACCAAATTTAATTGTGATCAAATATATATGATTAAATGTCAACTCATCAACAAACAGCCATTTTTAAGGAAACTTTCCTAAAGCAATAAATATTGCAGGTATATTTTTTAAATTAAAACTTGTATCAATGTTCAATTCAGAGAGAAATGTCTCTGACACCTAAGTAAAGTGAGAAGCTGAGTTTTCAACAAAGGCAGCTATATACCTTTTTATTTTTCAGACCTAACAGTTCTTCAGGACAGTTTGGTCTGGGTTCCCATGATTTAAGATTTTATCATTATTCCAGCCTGAATATGGTAGATTGCAGTTAATAGCAACTAAATGCTTAAGAATAAAATGAAATAATATAAATAATCACTGTTCTTAGACAAGCTATTTTGCCATTGTTTTTCACCCTGACTTGGAGAAAACGAGAGCAAAAGTTAGGATCCTAGAACAGTTAAAGGTCTCTGATAGACAAGGTATGAAGAAACAGTCAAGCAGACCATCTTAAGAGCCCAGCTAATAGTGTAGTGCCAGAAACCTATGACAGGAATACCCAGCAATACTTTCCCTCCTTCCGCAGATGTAGGCGGTATAAGTGAGGAATCAAGAGACCTGCGGTCTAGTTCCAAGTCTGCCCCTATTAGCAATGTGTCACCTCCCCTCTCAGATGCTAAATTTCACTTTCAGTTAAAAAGGAAGGCTAGGCTAAAATGATCTCCAATCCCTTCCTACTCTAAAAATGTTATGATTCTAGCCTTCTTCCAAGGCCTCAAAAATATTTTGGCTGCCACTAAAAAAATAAAGAGTGCTGAAAATGTTACATTTATTTTTACAACATGTTCTCAGTGCCCGCCTTTAGTATGTGTAAGTATAAACCACATGAGTTAGCAGGGGCATTCATCTCATATATAATTTGCCCAGTAAATACTTTATTGCAAATGTATGAGTCTTGAACTATGTACCAAACACCATTAAGTTAAACTATAAGGTTAAAAAAAAATCACGGAAAGATTTACCAAGAACAAAAGCTTATCAATACAAGCACACTATTAAACCTCACTATAAAGACATTTAGAGTTAGAAGGGTTCTCAGGAGTGTAATCCCTCAATTTAAAGATGAGGAAATAAAATGACTCACACTCCAGAGCTCTTTTCTAGTATACCACACAGTTCCTCCTCTCTTTCCTGCTGTATCAAAAGACAGCCCGGTAGCAGAAAGAACGCCACTGTCAAACTGAACCAGGTTCTAGACCTAGTTCCACCATTAATTTGCTGTGGCAGCTTTTACAAGTTCCTTTTTCTCTCTAGGCTTCAGTTTTCACAACATATTACATGAAGGGGTTTAACTAGATGTCCCTTCTAGCTACAACAGGCTATGATCTTACAAAACTCCTATCTGACAAAACAAAAATACACTTTCCTGAAAGAAAGTGGGATTTCTTACCAAGAGAACAAAAAAGTTTGGGCTGCTGGTTTTAAAGAATATGTATCAGTTCAATTCAGCAATTTGGTCCTAAAGCATTTAACTCCAGAATCCACTAAGGGAGGATCTCTCTCTATCTCTTTATTACTCCCCTCACCACCCTCCACAGGAAAAAAAAAAAAAAAATACTGGACTAGGACTCTGAAGAGCTTGTTTCAAATCCCAGTTCTGCCACTTGAAAGGTATCTCCTAGGGCAATTCACTTAACTGTCTCTGAGTCTAAGGTTCCTCACACATAAAAATGAAGATAAGAATGAGAAAACCTGGGCCTGGCGAGATGGCTCATGCCTGACAGTAATCCCAGTGCCCTGGGAGGCTGAGGTGGGAGGATCACTTGAAGCCAGGAGTTTGAGACGAGTCTGGGCAATACAGGAAGACCCCATCTCTAAAAAACCTTTCTCTAAGCAGGGTGGTGTGCACCTGTGGGAAGATAACTTGAGTTTAGGAGTTTGAGGCTGCAGTGAGCCATGATCTCGCCACCACTCCAGCTTGGGCAACAGGCTTTTTTTCCAAGACCCTGTCTTTAAAAAAAAAAAAAAAGAATAAAGAAAACCTGACCTAAAATATCAATTAAAAAAAGCATTATAAATATAGTATATATTGCAAAGCTAGGCAAGTGAAGATGATCTGCCACTGTGGAAAAGTAGGCTGTATTGTAACCAAAACTCTCTATAAAAAACTGGGCTGATTTTTAACATATTAAATTTGCTTTCAAAGAGCAGATTAATAAAACTGAAGACAACACTGTAGGGAAATGCAACAAATAAATTAATTTTAGGAAACAGACTGTGTATTAGGATTGCACTAATTAACAAAACATGAGACAAATCTCCACTGCCTAAACAGTTTACTACAATTTGATGGCATAGTCTGTGTACTTCCAAACACACAACAGCAAGGAACATTTCTGAAGTGCCCAAATTCAGTCTATTGACTTTAAAAATTATATGGTTTGCCACTCCAGGTCATATCAAGTAACAAAACATATTTCTGATGACCAATATCTAGTAAGGCAATCTGTTTCCACAAATCAAGATTTCTCACTACATTTCTAGGTTATAAGTTGCCCAGCCAGATCTGCTCAGTGTCTTATGCAAATGATACAACCTTCCAAAAAGGATAGAGGAAAATGTAAATGATGCTAACCTTTTACTGCCCTCTCAGTCCTGCCAGTTCTTTTCAGACGCAATTCTCCAGATTAATCTATTCTCTTTCCAATCCTCTAATACAGTAAGGAACTCTGAAACCCACAAACTGACCCTGTAGTAGTTTTATCCATAGAGCTCAACACACTTAGTAATTGGGCAGGTTAAAGATAAAATTAGAAAGCTGAGTTCCAAGCAACTTTTTTAGTTTTCACCTAATATCAGAGGATCAAAGTGCTTGAGAAACTATATTACCTCACGAGAGAAGCGACTCTATCAGTTCTATCAAAATGACTCATCTGGTTTAGATAAGTAAAATAGCTCCAAGTTCTGTATCTCCCAAAGTAAGCTCTGTGTAAAGTTAACGAATTTGCCAATGCCAAGAAAGGAAGGAGAAGATCATGAACATTTCAAATGCTTCCTCTGTGCCCAGGTACTAGACTAGACAGTTTACACAGGTCGTGATATAACTTGTGTCCTTTGAAGTTAAGCTTATTCAATGGAAAGAAACAACATCCACACAGTAGTTTGATCATCTCGTAAACTGATTATTTTCCCCCCCACCCCAAAACACACACACAAAAGTACCAAAGGACCTGGTCTCTCATTTAATCTGAATTGTCAGTTCATTACTTTGAAGGAAAAACCACACAGAAAAAAAGTTAAACTTCACGGAAATCTAATATATTTCAAAACCCAAATGTATTTCCTATCCTCTACTACCTAGCTCTAAACTTGTCTCAGATATTGAACTTGAAGGAGATTCAGTGCCATCTCAAGATTGGCCACTGCCACCCCAAAATCCAACGGTTGGTGGAAAGACACACATCTGAAATCTACCAACGTACATTGCTTTCTGATTTTGTACTGTAACTTTTTGGTGTATATTGTGTATAAACATACATTAGTTTTTAGAATGACTTCCGGCATGCACGGCTAACTGTATTTGCATCAGAGGGGGCATTTCTCCCACGGAGTAAGTTCGAGAACCGAAGCCAGTTCACTTCTGTAATCATATTAGTCATTTATATTAAAATACAAATTTTTACCAATCTTCAAGTTCTTACAGCATGAAAACATTTAACTGCCTCTAATTCCACGAACATTCGCAGGGGAGTTCGGCGAAATCGTTTTAAAGCACTACTTCAACTTGGAAAAGTGGAGAAGTGGGTAAGTAAATACAAGTCCTAGTCAAGCGAGCATTCCAACTACTGTACTTCCTATTCAGAATCACCCATATTAATCACCACTAAAACATCTTGCAGAATTAGATAAAGAACACAAAGCTGGGGCTCTCCTTCCAATCACCAGATTACTCAGCACTTGTTTGTCCCTCTGTAGTCAGTTGCGTACATTTCTGTCTGGCCATCCTTTTAAACCGCATTCTTCCTAATGGTAGGGACAGTGTATTCGATCTCCTTTATCTCACGGCAAGGTGTTACTTTAATAAAACACTGTTGATCTAGAGTACATCAGCTAGAGGACTTTCTTAAGCAAATACCCAACCTTTCCCCGCTCCTCTTCGCTGTGTGCAAGGCAAATAGGGGAGAGTTACAGCCACCTCTGAAATGAATAGGTAAGTTAGCGGTAAAGGGGAGAATACAAAACTACAAGTTACATTTCTCCTGTTAATGCTCCTTTAATCTACGATCCCCGAGGCCAAAACGGATGTTTGAAAGGTAAGCTCGGAACCCAACAGATACAAATCTCTGGCTCCCAGGCATGTAAGCTGTTCCCCCTCACAGAAGGCTGGACCAGACGAGAAATGGGCTCTGAGAGAGACTCTGGGATCGTTGAGTAGGGAAACTGCCCGGAGGCTGCCCGAGGTGGGCGACTCCCCCTTCTCCGAGTCACCCCGCCCTAAGAAGCCCAAGGTCTGGGTTCTGAAGTGCTCCAGTGAGACGGAGAGGAACAGCGGTGGCGGACACAGCGGGACCTGGGAGAGGTGTAAGGGGAAGGCACAGAAGATGCAGGGGACTAGGGATGTTCGGCTTCCTGGACATAGCTGCGGTTACTTACCCCACGAGGCAGCCGCCCCCTAGGTGCACATCTTCAGGGGCATCATAGAATTCCTCGGTGTCGCTTTCCGACGCCATTTATAGGACACACCCGCGGGTGAGGGGGCCGGCGCCGCCTGGAGGAAGGGTGACTCTCGTCTTCTCCTAGTCGACCTCCACCCGGGCGAGACTGGGGAAGTGGGTCCCCGGCGAGGCTGAGGGAGCCGACGAGCTGTAGCGAGGAGACTGTTAAGGAAAGGGGGCCGCCCTCAGTTGCCGGGCTTCTGGAATAACCCGCAGAGCGGCCGCCTGAAGAGGCGGCGGTGGGTCCAGAGACTCTTGCTGCCACCGCTCCCAGTGATAGGTGTATAAGGAGCGCGAAAGAGGCGGTGGCTCTTCGCAGTGGGGGAGGGAGGGCGCGCCGGCGACAGCGGCTCCAGTTTCTCCCGCAGCAGCAATTTACAGCAGCTGCGAGAGCCAGTTGCCCGCAAAATACCGACGCTCACCTACCATCGCGAGATTTCGGGAGGGGCGGTAACACGTAGGCGGGGCGAAGAGGTGGCGGGGGCGGTTCCAGAGAGGCAGCGCTCCGATTACTTCTGCCTGAGAAGCCTATCAAAACAGCGCAAGCGCGTTGAGGGCGCTCTGTGAGGGCCGGAAGTAGCCGAGAAGGGAGAGAGTGAGCCGCCCGAAGGGAGGAGTCTAGGACCTGCGCAGGAGCAGCGTGGTACCCGGACTGTGAGGGCGCGCGCCCGACAAAGGTGGGGTCGGGCAGAACGTCTTACTCTCTAACTTTGCAGTTCCAAAGAGACGCATTTTGAGAGGGATGATTTTGAGTCGGTTTTTTTCTTGTAAAGAAATGCTCTCGGGAAACGTTGGTGGGGACATTTTGGCGTCTATTTACAATGTCTTACTAACCAAGCCCGGAATGTCCCACCCTAGGGCATCGGCAGGTCCACCACCTCTAGCGAGCTATTGCAAGAATAACTCGCCCTTATTCTCTACGACTTATAATTGAGATCCCTAGATACGATCCTGTCGGCCAGAAGGTGGGGTCCTTGAGATATACACGGGGAGTGTGCCAGTTCCATGGAATAATGATGGATTTATTGCTGGAGCTAAGCCAGTATAAGGCCCCCGGTTACTTTTTGTCCGCACATCTCTGTCGCTGCCGACACTTGATGTAAGAGAAGTTCTTACATACTGCCCAAGATGTGCGTCAGCTAAATGGTAAATATTTATTGAGCAGATATCATTGCAAGGCTACGAGCTAATGGCTTAATTCTGATCCTCAACTGCCCAGTGTCCAGTGATAAAAATAGAAAGGTACTTTTTAAAAAACGGAGATGTTCCTCCTTAAACCACGGGTAATTGACCATCAAGGTGATAACATTGACTCAATATGATCACAAAGCATATTTAGTTCTCCAAATGACATTATAATAGGCATTTTGAGCTGTTTGTGCAGCCTCAATTACTACTCAAGAAAAGACTGGATTGGAGTCAAGGGCATGGCCTCAGGCTGGAAAGGAGCACTAGACTTTGTCAAGCAATCAGGGCAAGGTTTGCTGTGGTCTGCTGGACTTGGGTAAAACCAAATGTCATATACTGTATATTCTATAATATCCCAGGGAGTTTAGGGAAAACACTGCATAATCAAATATATTATTATTTTTGCAGCAAGACATATGATTGTTCATACGGGATAAATAAATACTAGTTAATAGCCTCATTCAGTTTGCGTCAGACGCTTCTGCCAAATAAGTTTAGGATAGATCCATTTGACTGTCAAATAAATTACTAAAAAAAAAAAACCCAAAACTTGGTTTCCAGAGCTTTTTGGGTTTCAGGATTGGAGACAAGGGATTTGTGGATCCTTGTGAGAGTAAATTATTAGGTTTTATGTGCCTTAAACATGTTAATTAACTTCCTAGGTATAAAAATGTACCTCAGAATACTAACTTTTAAAATTGTTTTACTCACTAAGATAGTTTTTTTTTTTTTTTCTTTTTGGATTATGGAAAGATACACGGTATAAGGTAAAGAAAGATATATTTATGGAAAGATATAGCTACCTGAACATACTTTCTTCCTAGTTATCTAATAGTGAATTTATGGTTTCCTAAAAAAAAAAAAAAAAAAAAAAAAAAAAAAAGTTAGTTTTCTCTATATGGTAGAGGTATTAGCTCCAGGCGTGCTGTCTCACATTTGTAATCCCTGCAATTTGGGAGGCCAATGCAGGTGGATTTCTTGCACTCAAGAGTTTCAGACCAGCCTGGGCAACATGGCGAAACCCTGTCTCAACAAAAAAGTTCAAAATGTAGCTGGGTGTGGTGGCACGTGCCTGTGGTCTCAACTAGTCTGGAGGCTGAGAGGGGAGGATCACTTGAGCCCAGGAGGTTGAGGCTTCAGTGAGCTGAGATAGCGCCACTGCACTCCAGACTGGGCAGCAGAGCCACACCCTATTTCTCTCTCTCTCTCTCTCTCTCACACACACACACACACACACATACAAATGCCATGTGTGAAAACTAGTCACTCAGTTCAGTAAACATATACAATTTGGTGCAATGTAGACCCACTGCAGTGGCTCACACCTGTAATCCCAGCACCTTGGAAGGACAAGGCACATGGATCACTTGAGGTCAGGAGTTCGAGACCAGCCTGGCCAACATGGCAAAAGCCTGTCTCTACTAAAAGTTCAAAAGTTAGCCGGGCATGGTGGCACTTGCCTGTTGTCCCGGCTACTCAGGAGGCTGGGGCAGGAGAAACCCTTGAACCCGGGAGGCAGAAGTTGCAGTGAGCCAAGATCATGCCACTGCACTCCAGGCTGGATGACAGAGTGAGACTCTCTCAAAAACAACAACAAAAACAAAACACAGAAAGACAACTTCAGTTTCTGCCTGTAAGGAGCTAATAATCTAGTAGTGGAGACAAATATGGAGTCCTAGTTTGGTGCTTTTTTATTTTTTAATATACCGTATCAGCTCTCTTGGACGTTTTAAGTTACCTTAAACGTTATACTTAGAAAAAGATAAAATGGATAAGAATAATAAAGTGTTAATATTTTTAGAGCTTTTAAAGTTGCCCATTTAAATGCTTTTATCAATTGTATGAGAAAGTGAATTGCTAGAATGAATTGCTGGAACATTAAAACACATATAAATACCACCTAGCATCACTTTTGAAGATGTAAAAGATGTGTTTATTTTGCCTGAAATATTAGTTATTGAGTTTTAAAGCAGCAGATTTTAGGTATCATCCAAGGCAGCAATTTTGAAGCTATTCTCTATATTAGAAATGGAACCTTAATCAAACTTAATTTTATGCAAAAGTTCATATAGCATACAAATAAAAACTGCTCTGTTTGAAACAGGGTTTCAAAGTTGAGGTCCCTGTCTGTTTGACCTTCCTTGAATCTCCAGAGACTGTCCCAAGGCTTCATAGAAAAAGAAGAAATGAAAAAGCAGAGGTTTGGCAAATTATACTCCACAGGACAAATCCGTCCCACTTTCTGTTTTTGTAAATGACATGTTGTTGGAACGTAGTCAGGACTATTTGTTTATGTATTGTATATGGCCACTATCATGTCAGAGTTGAGTAGCTGGGACAGAGACTGTGTGACCCACCAAACCTAAAATATTTACTATCAGGCCTTTTTTACAGAAAAATTTTATAGGTCCATAAGGTACTATTTTCTAGGGTACCTCAAAACTAAAAATACCCTCAAATTAAATGGTTTCAGCAGATCATATGATGTTGCAAAATCATATGTGTAGATAAAAATAAGAATAAAACCTTTCCCTGCTGGCTCATTCCCAATGACTATAAAAATTCATAGATCTAAGGGTAAGGTGAGTTTAAGGAAAATTTTTATGCTTAACTAAATTCCTTATCTGCATAGCAAATACTCTACTCTCCAAAGACTAGAGGTCACAGCCACCGTATGGAACAACTTATCTGTGGGATGTTAATTCTCTCCCCTTGGCAAGAATAATACAAACTGGCAACATCCTTGAGGCCAATTTTACCCCAACCCCAAGGGTAACCAATCACTCAGAATATCAGTGTTCCAAGTACATCCTAATAAGTGTAGCCTTTTATTACAAACAAGAGCTAAAGTGATAACTCAGGAAAAATAATTTTTTTAATGTACAATGTTAGGTGACTTGAGACACAATGTTGACATAAAAGATTTAATATTACTCAGTATGTTACCCAGTTGGTCTTGAACTCCTGGCCTCAAGTGATCCTCTTGCTTTGGCCTCCCAAAGTGTTGGGGTTACAGGTGTCAGCCACTGTACCTGGTCTACAACCTGCAACCCTTCTGATACCTACTTCCACAAGCAAATTTCAGGTCTTTTTGAGAATAAAGTGCCATCTTTATTGCAGCATTTATGTATTTCTTAATCATTTTACATGTGTAAAACTGTGCTGCCATTTTTTATTAGGTTCATATCTTTTTGTGTTGATATCACTGATGAAATTTTTAAATGTTGTGCCCCTAACCCATTTTCCCCATAAACCTTGTGGTTTTATTGAATAATTTTGCATAGCAGAGTGATTTTTAGGAATGCCCAGGTCGCTTTATAGCAGAACTGACTGTAGTCCAGAAGTGGTAGCTTCAGCCATGGCTGTATCCAGGGTCCAAGATCTATCAATTCTCTTTCCTTTTGTCCATCTCCTTCGTTTTGTGCTTTGACTTCAATTTTCCTATTGCAAACAACTTCCTTCTTGTAGTTAGTGAAGACGGCTGCAAGAAACGTTAGCTTATAATGAATAACTCTCAGTACTAAAGGAAGGGAGACTTTCTCTGTCAGTGTTTATATATTAAATCTCGGAGAGGATACTGATTGTTCTTAGGAGGCCCATCTAACTAGGAGCATACAGAACTCTCATTTGTTCAGGCCTGGGTCAGCTGATTCCTTGCCACCTGCCAAATTAGGAGAGACTATTGTGATTATCTTCCTTACTAGGATTGTGTAGAATATTCAGTGGATGTTTTTTCAAGGAAAGGATACTAGCAAAATGAACAAACAAACAAACAAAAGGACACAAAGGATACTAGCAGACAGTAACAATGTGTTTATATAAGTTATTAAGGGGTAAGTCTCCATATTCATTGACATGAAAAGAGCTCATAAAGTGTTAAATGAAAACAGATGTTACAGAATACTGCATATAGAATAATCCCATTCATGTAAATCATTTATCTATGCACATATATATACACCTATGTGTATGGAGAATTCTGGAAAAATATTCACAAAGGATTTATTGTATCTTTGGTTACTGATTAAAATAATAATATGAGGTTTGTGCCTTATTTGTACCTTTGTGTAATGACTGAATTTCTACAATGAATATGTATTACTTTGTAAATAAGGGAGAATTATTAAAAGAAAATATATAAACTATCGTATACAAGGTAGATTTACATACAGGATTAAGAT